ACTCAACTGAAGTTCTCGACAACTCAACCATTTACAGAGCCACATAAACCACTTCACAATATACAAATGGTTACTTTCCACAAGTTAAATTGAATAGCTATAAAATAAATCTCAAATGATTCCCAAGCCGTCAATTCAATTTAAAAAAATTATAACCAGTTTTGTCACATAATGACTAATACAATCTATCAAGTTTCTAGATGGAAGGTTATTCTGCCCTATGTCTCACAAATATTCCCTTACAGCATTAAATCACTCTGCCTCCAGAAGTGCACGCGGTAATTGTTTATTACTAAATTTGAGCAAAAATTGATCAATTTGTCCCTTGTGCACAGTATTATGTACTGATGCACGTATGTGAGCGTGGCACAGCAGGTTATGTTGCCAGATTTACTAGACACTATTATCTAAATTTTAGACCTTAAAATAACTAATTTTGTGGTGGAAACACATTCATTAATGGTCTTTAATTTCCTATAACTTAATTAAGAGGAAATGTCTGAAGAATACTCCATTCCCATACATCTAATTAAATCCCAGTCAAAAAATAGGCACATGAATGGTTGACACCTTGATGAAGTAGAAGGTAGACACATAATTCCACCCACCTGGGATTGGAATCAACTGTGTACTGGTAATATGCAGAACAAGGAAAACAAAGGTCTTCTCATCAGCAAAAATAGAAGTTTTCAAAATGCACGTAGGTATTGTTTATTCACAAAGCATTCCAAATAACATACAAAGTCATGGTATAAAATGTGAAGAATATGTTCATGTAGGTGAGTAAGTAACCATCAGATGTCCATGATCATAAAATGATTTAACTTTTTCTTTAATTCTGCCAGACTTTCATTAAGATTATTATTATTGATGACAAAAAGGGTGTACATCTTATTCTGTGATTTGTAGGTAAGAACACTGCATGGTAAAAAAAAATTAAAATCAAAATGCAGAAAGCTTCTATGAAGATAATTACACCACTTTTAAACTAGAGACCAGGGGAATCTTCCCCAAGGAACCTATGTGTGTTGTAGTTAAGTTGTAAAAAATGCATGGTACCTTGCAAAGATATCAATCTCTTCTCTAGGAATAATGTCTTGAAAAACTATCTAATAGATCAAGTGGGAGTATTCACAGGTAGTTCTATACAATATCAAGTGAAGCACTGGTGGCAGAATAAGCTTCTGAATACTCCTCATCGTGTATCTTAAAACCAAGCAACAAAAGATCCACTCTAGAAATATATCTTCACTTACTTCAGATGATCAGGTAGGAGTAAAGTTGAAAGAAACCCTTCAACAGAGAATAACAAATATTGTAGAGTACATCAGGCTGAGGAGAACAGAAATACAAGATACCCAGCTTTCAATAAGAAATAGTTACATTGGTTACTACATGTAAGATGATATTGTCTTTGTTACTATAAAATGTCAATGGCTCCAACTGAAGCTGTGTTCAGATAAGGAACATTTCAAAACGAAACTAAGTCACCAAGCTGTTAACTCCAGTGTTTCAGCAGACTATGTTTCATCTAGTCAGTTTACAAGGTTTACACTTACAGACATTAAGCCACTTAAGTTTATTGCAATTTAGCAAGAATCCCCTTGAAGATAGATCGATCCACAGTTGGTCTGGGAAAGATCCCTAAATCTCTGCTGTTTCAAATGGGTTAGTGGGCTGACAAGTACTTGGCTTAGGATGTCAAGTAGTGTGATTGCCAAAGCTGAAACAAATTATAGCTAAATACTTCAATGAATGCTTCTATAGAGTAACACTCCATTCCCATAGACTCCACAGGTCCACGTGCATCCCATACACACCATAGGTCCACATGCATCCCATAGACACCATAGGTCCATGTGCATCCCATAGACACCATAGGTCCATGTGCATCCCATAGACACCATAGGTCCATGTGCATCAACCCATGTCTGCAAGGACTCTTGCTAAGTGCAATTAGATGAACTGAAGAACATACATCCTCTTGTTTCCAACTTGCTTGTCTACTCACCAGCTTTTCTGTGTTCTTCTTAATGCCAGGAGGAGGCGTGTCCATCAGTTAAACTGACTGCACTCAGCGAGAGTCTCCAAGGAGTTGGGCGATTATAAAAATTATTTCTGTATATTCTTTTTATTTCCTCATGTTGAACATAATGTTTAAAAGTACAATTTAGATTTCAGGTAATTCATTAACCATACTTATTGCACAGTGCCTGGAAAATCAATAATTCCAATAAAAAAATAATTAGAATGTTTTTTTCATAAATATCTAAATATAATTTTTTAATAACAAGATATTATGTTACACAGTCATCAAATAATAACAAATAAGTCATGATGAAAGCTTTCAAAAAGAGTGAACAATCATGTTGGTGACATGTATTCAGAAGGCATGCCACGTAATGGACTGGCACAAATGGTTTACGAACATTCTAAAGGCACCCTCTGCGTCATATTTCTGTGGCATTTGATGACAGAAACCAGTAACAAAGAACACGCTGCTTAAAGTGCAGTGCATTCACATTTCTGCAGCATTTACTGGCCAAAAGCGAAACAAAGTAACAATTCCTGTAAAAGGAAGCGCTGCCATTTTCTGACGCAATAAGCAGATTAGGCAATCATTTGAGGCTGAAGACAAATTAAAACAATCGCGGCGTACAATCACTTTAGACTTATGAGACGAGTGACGCACAAGTAATCTGCAATCATATTTGCCATATGTTTCTCTTGACAATAATTCCATTGAATCAAAAATCTAAAAATACAAGCAGCAATACACAACTGATAATAATGACATTTCTTTTCAATATTACTTAAGAACTGACAGACTTTGAACAGAAAAGAGCACCTGCCCCTTAACAGTGCTTTCTTCTTGACATTAATTCATATCATAGTATAAGCATTCATACACATTATAGAGATACACATGTGGGATCCAGATGACATAGTAAAAAAACCTTGATTACTGCACCTTATACATACATCTAGATACCTTACAGAACAAGTTGATATTCTGTGAAAAATTAATGATTATTTATTAAGTTCATAGGATTGTCAAATTCTGTTAACATTGCCAATTAGTATTTTATATATTTATTATTATTATTATTATTATTATTATTACACCTTTATCCTATTTACAATAACAATCAGTAAAAGATTAATTACAGCAACTTTTGTCTGATCATATTACAGTGTACAAAAACCACTATAACAATAAATTTTTGTTACATGTTCTCGACCAGCATTAATTATTTTGCCCCTGGAAAGGAAAAAATTCAATTTCCCTTTTACCATATCAGCTTTTCTCCAAGTGAAACATTTCAAGTTGCAATAAATCTTTTTGTCTTTCTTTCTGTGAGGGAATGACTATTTCTAATCCATTTTCTGCCTAGTCTTATTCTGGAGCTAATCGTCACTTTAGAGTAATTACTGCAAGTAAGTTTTCTTGGCCATGGATCAATTTTCATCAAAAGTGCAGGCACATGATTTGCAATTAACTAGGCTTAAAATACTATAGATTTATTACAGGTAATATACGACTATGCAAGAATAACAGTTGTATGAACTTTTAGGTGTGTGTATGTGAGTGTGTGTGTGTGTGCACGCGCGCACGGGGGTGCTTACATGCTTTAATGCATTTTTTCTGCATATTTAACAAAGGCACCTTGCTATGGTAGCAGTGGACATCTTTGGCAATAACTACCATTCTGCAGTAGCAAGAGTCCACACAGAAAATAATCAACATGTGGTGATATAATATAGTTCTTGATACTTTCTTAATTCCTCCAGATACAGCTAAGATGTGGTATCATTAGGTGTACAGAATAAACAGAAGCATGGGGGTCTGGAATAAAGATGTCAATCACCACAGGTGATCAGATTGTTAATGGATTGTATGACTACAACTGGCAATATCAAATCTTAGCTTCTCACATGTAAGATCTACAGCATGAGATATTCTCTTCATGATAAATGAATGTATAGTTGGTGTGTACATGCATCTCTATGTAGTAAATACAAGCAAGCACAAATACCTGTAGATGTGTGTGCATCTGTGCATATATTTCAATGTGGAAGGAAAGTAATTTTTTAAAGGAGCGCTTTTATTTGTATGTGTGTATGAGTAGGCAGCAAAATGTCTGCACAATTGGGATTTGTGGTATGAGAATTTTAGTCCTGAAAGTCTCTAGGGAGGAACAAACTAACAGAACCACTTACTGGTAATTGTATTCTGCACATTACAATTCACAAACAGTCACTACAAACCTGATGGGGGGACTGAAATGGTCAACTAAATGATACCTTTAACAACACAACTGTGTCCAGCAAATAGCATAATTATATTACTCCAAAATCAAACCCACCATCTATGAGATGCAATGCAATGGCAATGGGTTGTTTGAATAAAACTAAGTTAATTATTCCATCAATATAAGTCTACGCTGTATTTACGTATAATTTGAAGGTACGGGGCCCTCTGTAGCAATTAAAGCAATGCAGCAAAATATCTCGCACATCAGACTCAATTCCTAAGAGAAAGATCATATTGATAAAATTGTAATGATTGATACGGCCATTAAGCATGTATGTGAGAGATCTGCAGTGACGCAGGTCTGTTAAAAGTTCATTAACACAATTGAAAGTGTGAAGTGTACAGTATTCTGGATGATTTGATACTAGTGGGGAATGCTATGTGAATATGTCATCTCTGACTTTTCATTTATTTATTTATTTATTTATTTATTTATTTATTTATTTATTGAGAATATTTGTTTATTATCATATCCATTTTCATAAAAAAATCTAATTCAGAAACATTTTCTATGAAATGCAAAGGATTTTTTCTTATGCTGAACCACCACATATATTTGTATTCATATTACTTTTTTGTAATAGCATATTTTAGGATAACTTGTGTTAATAGCCTTTGTTTGCACAAAATAAATAGTCTAGATAAACAAATTTATTCATTAATAACTTTGATTTTTTGCTTTCAGAGAGCATACTTTTGTTGAGACAAAAAATGTGAATAACCACACACGTTTCCAGGAGGAGTTAAAAACGTGAAATCAACCACAGGAAGTTCATGAAGTCACTCCTGAAAGAAGACACAGCTGCTCCAGCTCCTGTTATAGAAAAAACACAGAGAAGCAAGTTATGACACTGGTGACAGGATTTGAAGCCCCTGAAAAGTAGAGCACTGAAAACTAAATCTCTGTACCTCATAATGAGAAAATTATAAAGGAAACCATGGAAGTCATGTTTACATGTCAAAAATGAAGTAAAGGAAATGTAATTGTGTCTCACTGCTCTCATTGTGATATATGTGAATTGATTCTGAGAATCAAAATCTGTCTATCAATGGGATCAAAATCAAAACAGAAGACCAAAAGTTTGGATCAATGAATCACCTGTGACTAATTGTGTCACTTAAAGGAAACAAGGACTTGACAGAAAAAGGTGGAAAAAATTCTAATATACTGTTAGTGCCACACAGTGGATTACAACATTGTGCCTGGTTTAAAAGGGATCAGATACTGAGGAAAGAGGACTCCTTACTGCACATCTTCATTCCTCATTGAAATCAGATTTCTGTCCTAATGGATGGATATCAGTGAATCAGCTTACGAAAACAACCCTTACAAGTGTGAAACACAGTTCTTATTCTACCAAACATATAGATTACTAATAAACAAGAACAACTGATCAAACCACAGCTTAGAACCGATTTTTTCATGACAGGGAATCCTTGGAAATGCAACAAAAACAACATTTGTTTCAACAAAGTTCAAGGAAAATCCTCCAAGTCTTCTAACAATTGCCTAGAAATCTGTGAGGTTCCTGGAAAACGTGTTCCTAGCACAACCAACAACCAAGCTGGAGCTGTTGTACGAATCATACCTGTTGTTTTGACATTTCCTTTCACCTGATGAAACCCCAGTCCTAACTTGTCCTTTTCCAAAACCAACAACGTTAATAGAAAAAAATCAGTTGATAGTGTTGTTAATGCTACAGATTTTACTCCTACTTAAGGTAATCTGTTGAAAAAAACAACTTCATCTTAATTGTGAAGACAAGTATATGACAACTATTACAAAAATTCATACAAGGAATATTGGATGCACTATTGTGTTATTTTTCTGTGAGTAGCCAAGTGGATTTATTGAAGGCTATCATTATTGAAGACCTTCCACAACAATTACAATCACGTGGTGAAGGGGAGGATTGACAAATTCTCAAGAAAAGCAAATGTGGATTTATATGATGAAATAACACCCTTGGGCCTAATGATGGTGGATAATTTTGTAGTTCTATTGTGCCAATATTTTAGAAGTGGCTATACCATTTAATTCTTCAGAAGATATAGCAGGTGATGATGAGATTTGTGAGAAAAAGCTTGACAGCATTCAAGTAGTTAGAAATATAAACACATCGTGAAATTAACATATCTAATGCTACGAACAGATTCAAAATACAAAAACAGGTGGATAACCTTGGATTTAGCTCATCTTGACAAGATGGATGCCTCAACTATATGGCGGCAAATCAACGCGACTCTTCATACAAAAGAGTCCGCAAAGGTGCTAACTTTGCCCATACACAATGGGGGAAACCTTTGCGAGGGGCGTGATTGCTCCCTTACAACTCAGTACATGGAAAGTCCATCAAATATCACCAATCAATCAGAGATATTGAACCAAGACGTACATTATAACTGGATGGTGCTGTTCTTGGGCATTCTGGTGATAGCAGGAATGCTGGGAAATATTCTGGTGATAGTGGCGGTCTCTGTTGAGCAAAAACTACATAATGTGACCAATTATTTTCTGTTGTCATTAGCTGTTGCAGACTTGTTGGTATCTGTGATAGTGATGCCACTGGCCATGATGCAACTGTTTCTAGGTATGTACAGGTCTCTCTGTCAGCATTTTTACATGTGGGTTATTATTGCATGCTATATATATAGTTCACACTCATTAACATGCTCAATGAGCTGGCAAGCTGTCCAACCACAAGCAGAAAATAAAAAGATGATAATTCTGTGAAGCAGATTCTATTTAGGCAGAGTATAATTTTTTTCTATCAAAAAAGGAATTTTAAATACTTGACTTTGAAATATGGAAAAAATGTAATGCACAAAGAAAGACAAAAAGAACTGTTTCCATGTAATGCCCAGAATCTTTCATCTTTCATTTGCCTGCATTGATCTGTAAATTACTGTAATTAAGCTTTGAAATATATATCAAGGCTTTGTAAAACATCATATTAAAATGTAACACACATTTTGGCCTTCATCTGCATAACCCACATCCAGCATTCTTTTGGTAAAATTTGGTAAATTTCCTGTTTTATTTTTTCTGATAATAAATCAGTTTAAGAAAAAAAATTGCAAATACTTCATACCAGTAACTGTGTGATATGATAAAACAACAAAACACAACTATTTTTTCATCAACACTACTGACATTATTTCTTTCTCTCTCCAGGGTCGTGGACATTAGGCATCGTTCTTTGTGATATCTACGTAACATGTGATGTGCTGATGTGTTCATCTTCAATAATTCACATGTGCACCATCTCTCTAGACCGCTACTTAGGAATTCGCCACCCGCTACGGTACCGCAGCAAATCGCGCAGTTACGTCTGTGTTAAGATAATCATTGTATGGTTCATTTCCTTTGTCGTATGTTGTCCAATCACAGTGCTGGGAATTGCGCATCACGAACATATTCTCCAGGATAAATTTTGCTCGATACAAAATAAGCCATTCATGTTGTATGGATCGATAGCTGCATTTTTCATTCCGCTGGTCATTATGGTTGTTACTTACATCCTCACAGTGAAATTATTACAGAAACAAGTGCAAATGTATAAAAGAAAGAGCAAGGAGGGCCAGGTTCTTATACGACGCTCAGGAGCAAAACCCAAACGACGATTCAGAAAACCCCCGATTGATGTTTGCCGTCCAATATGTACCAATGAAAAAGAAGCAACAGGTTATCGAAATGGGAACTTGGGCAATTACAATAATAATCAAGGTAGTTCAAACATAACACTGAACGATCACCATCAACACCCTTTTCTTCATCAAATAGACAACCATACTCATCAGTTGACAGCACAACTGCACTATAGTTCCTCTGGAACAGAGTCCAAGGATTCTTCACCTCCAACACCACCGCCACCCAGCCCCTTTAACCAACGCCCACGAAGCATGGGAATGTTTGAAAAGGGGTCAAGTAGCCAGGATGTCAACAACCTATCGCACAGTGACAACATAAATGGAGTCCTCCCTCATCGAGCAAGAGCACATACCGTCAGCCACGAACCGAGTAATTTCGACGCCATTACTACAGAGGAAGATGCCTCGAATCGAGGTTCAAGTAATTCTGTGGATTCGGGCCAAAGTCCATTTCGCAATGGTACCAGTTCTCGAAGAGCTCGAGACTTGTGGCACAAACCCAGTATGGCTTTGCGAGCAGCCAATATTATGATAAACCACAGACGAGAAAAAGTGAAAACTGTACGGACAGAACAGAAGGCGTCAAAGGTGCTAGGAATCGTGTTTGTGGTATTTGTAGTGTGCTGGGCACCCTTCTTTATCACAAACTTCATGACCCCGTTATGCAAAGCATGTCACTTTAGCGAGAACCTGATCACCGTGTTTGTGTGGCTAGGGTATGCCTCAAGCATACTGAACCCTCTGATCTACACCGTGTTTAACAAGACATTCAAGGACACCTTTGTGGACCTTCTCCTCTGCCGTTACAGTAAAAAACACAAACTTAGCAAATTGTACTCTCTCAGTTTTCTGAATGCTCATGCCGCAGCTTGGGCAGGGCGGAGCATTCCTTCCAGCTATAAAAAGAAACTAAGTTTACGAAAAAGCAAGGAAGCGTCAACAGTGACTACAAACATATGATAAGAACTGACTGAATCACAAGGTGTAATTTTTTTTTAAATAATCAATTTAACTTAATGCCATAGTTTTTCTCACTGACCACAAACACATGATGACGTGAGTACAGTTTGACTTTTAAATTATTTATGAACAGTTAATATTACTTACAGCATTTTGAGAAACAAAAGCATTTCAGATTTCTATGTTCTAGAAGATTTTGTACTAGAAAATAATGCTGTTGCAATTACCATTACAAGAATTCTGCAGTTCTCAGGATATGATCACTGCTTTTATTCTTCATTGTTGACTGCTTGACCCATAGTTAACTTGACCACAATTGCAAGTGACCAACAGTTTGATGAAATTAGCAAAGAAGAATAAAAGCTTGAATCTCAAACTAAAAACTGTATTTATTAAGGGAAAAAAATAAAACTAGATTCATTGAAATGTTTTAGTCACTTGCATAGAAGTTATATTTGTCTCAGTTACTGCAAAAATAATTCATATAATACAACATATGTTACGGTCAAGGCTCTTAAGCCTTACTTGCATTATTATTAAAATTGCAAAGATAAGGGCTTAATTTGAAAAATTGTACCTCCTCTTGATGTAAACCAGCTGTCAGGAGAAACACCGAACTATCAATGCTCTTGCAAAAATCAACTTAGATATATTTTCTACTTCAGCCCAAGATAGTTTTAGAACAAAAACTGACCAGCTTCATTTAAATTTACAAATTTCAATTTATTTCTTCTGAGAACCTTTTCAATCAGAATCAGGATCCTTTCTGAAAACTTAACACCAACACCTACATGGCAAAGCACAGGTTATATGAATTTTTAAGAATTCATCTCAGCTCTAACTGATGAATTAATAATCCTATTGCGTCAATGGTTCACAGTCAGTTAGTAATGCAGAACCTGGTCACAGTTGAGAAGAAGTGTGCCTCAGAACTGAGATCTCCAGCAAGAAAGTCACCTGAAATTGCTGCTCTAAACGTGACAAGAAGCAATGCAGGAGAACAGAAAATGGAGACAAGTAAGTCATCGTTATGAAATTATCATTGTAGTTTTATCAAATCGAATACTGAGTGCAATGACTTAAAATTGCTAAAATCCATTTTTGCCAGTCAATCAAATCGAATGTGGACAAATAGTGTACAGGAAAGGTTTTTGTCACTTCCAACTTTCCCAGTTACTTTATCTGACATGAGACATCATATGTTTCCAATACTCAATATGACGTGTCATCCACCACCGTAAGAGGGTTAAACATAATTTCTTTATTGACACTATTTTCAATATAATTACAATTTCTAAGAATTCAGTGCCACTGCATATAAAAGACAGGGTTCCAGTCATGAAATCTTTTCTGTCAAATCCACATAACATAATTATGATTCTGAAGAAAGCAAAACTACACTCATACTATTCTTTTCTTATTTTAAGGTCAGGGTAAAATAATTAAGTCAGTGCCATGAAAATAGCCTTTGTTTTATCAATAAAACCTGGTATCTTCAAAATAATTAGACTTTCATATCAAGATGCTGGTAATTTAGCAGGAATAATTTTGGTCTGTTTAACCCTAAGTCCAGGAAATATGTCTCAGGTTCCCTTAAACATAATAGTAATTATGCTGGTATAATAGATGAGATATGTCTGCATAATATATATTATATTTAATTTCTTTTTACAAAACCTGATGTATTTCTCCTATGACATAATGCATTCATGTTTAAGCAGATCACATCACCGATTGAAACTTTTGTTGAAACCTTTAGTGATGTTTGCTTTCTGAGAAAAAAATCAGACCCAACAACTTTGAGCTAATTTATGTCCATCTTGTAGACCCATCGATCAGACACTTTTGTGACGTCCCATGTGACATTCCCATCTCTCTCTGTTACAGTCTCTCTCTCTCTCTCTCTTCATCTCCCTCTCTCTCTGTTAGTCTCTCTCTTTCTTCCCCCATCTCTCTCTCTCTCTTTTATTCTCTCTCTCTCTCTCTATCTCTCTCTCTGTTAGTCTCTCTTTCTTCTCCCATCTCTCCCTCTCTCTCTCTCTCTCTCTCTCTCTCTGTTAGTTTCTCTTTCTTCTCCCATTTCTCCCTCTCCCTCTCTCTCTCTCTCTCTCTCTCTCTATCTCTCTCTCTGTTAGTCTCTCTTTCTTCTCCCATCTCTCCCTCTCTCTCTCTCTCTCTCTCAGGATACAATAAACCCTATCCTGGCATGGAAGTTGCTTAAGGTGAAGTTAATAGACAAGAAGATCATTTAAATAGACCCACTGTTGACTTACTCCCCTAATCAATTAGGAACACCGCCTAAAAGTTCCCTGACATTTGCTTTAAGTGGGCCCTCACCACACACAGACACACACTACTGCTCTTACATTTCACAATAATATTTTCTCAAATTTCTCAAAATGGGGAATCACTGCAGGAAAAACTTTTAAGGATATTACCAAACACTGAAGGATGTTACCCCTTTCTGATCAAATAAAATAAAGTTACAATTAACCTTTTCCTAGATAGCATCTCCATTAGAGCAAGGTCCTGAGTAAATTCAATATTGGAAAAAGACAGCCTGGCATACCGTCAACAAATCCGACCAACATTTTTAAAAATTTCTTTAAAAATACTTCATGAACTATGCTCACATTTACACAATATCTATTGAAATAAGTTCATCAGTTTGGCAAACTGATAAGATATAAAGATTACAGTGTGGATTGAAGATGTAAGAGTGCACTGCAATGTTCCTTAGGAGTACCTTAAAACTTTGTTAGTTTGTGATAAAGAACCTTCGTCTAATCTTTCCAATAGATATATTTTTGTAAAGATAATTTTATCCATTTTTCTTTTTCCATAAAGAAAAACTGTGCAGGTTTCATTCAATAACTTTAAGTTAGCAGTGGTGACCTTGATAACAAAACGCTAAAAATGCAAACTAAATCATTCTATTACCATGCTTCTTTTAATAATATAGAAATGTCTTTCCACAGCTGTCACTGCTAACAGTGCAAAAACAGTTTTTTCCAACAGGTGAATGAACCATAACACATGCTCTCATTATCATTTGTAAAACATGAGACTGACAACTAATAACACCACATTGCAATTACATAACAGAAAGTATTTTGTACTTTTTAGAAACAGATGGTGCTAGCACACGTATTAAACGACACAACGAACATGCAAACTAGCTGCATGTTTTTATTTTTTGATGGATATTCACTGATGCATAACTCTAATCAAAATTTCGAGCAAAATTTGATCCCTCAATAAAACAGGTTGCAAAATTAAAATCATCTAAAACTGAGTATCAACGACTGAAAGCTTAAAACGATGCATTTGAATGCTCATGAATCCTGAATCTAGGAAATCCTGAAGGGCAAAAAAAGCCCATTTGACCTTACGAATACCCTAAGATCCAGAAAAATCATAAATAAGGAATCTTCCTTTGACTACTGACTATATATACTACCTGACTTATATAAGTTATACACTGAATGCCTCATAGATTACTGTGAAAAGTAGCACCATATGAAAGCTGGCCTTTATTTGCAGCCAAGGCTGGGTCTGGTGACTTCTGAAGTATGCTTCTTACTGCAGCTTAGTGCAAAGATGTTCCAGTATAAATCATTCTACCTTCAAACAACAAGTGTGAACTTGGTTTGAAAAACAGGTGTTAAACATTTACGTCAAAATTAGGAAGCTTTATTTAATTATAATTATTTTACTTATGTCCTGTTCACATCTGAAACCAAGATAGACCAGGGACCTCAAACTGAACATTAGTCTATGTTTTTAGATCATAATTTAAGTCTACTTTGACTCAAGGGAAATCAGTAGTAACCCAATTAAATGAACTATTGTACCTGTTCTATTAAAAAAAGACTTGGCATATGTTTTACACCAACAGTAAAATAAATTTAAATAAATAAATAAAACCGACATATGATAACATGGCACCTGTTAAAAGCAAAAGATGGCAAAAACCACCAGTCTGTCGATCGAAATCAAAAATTGGCACAAAAAAAAAAAAAAAAAGAAGAAGAAAAGAAAAGAAATACACAATAATTTCTGATGTGTCCCACAGTGCCCAGCATAAATGGTCATCAGGCACTGGTCTTGTGTGGAGGGGAAGAATGCTAATAAAACTGATATAAATAATGGTATCCATCGATTATGTCCAGCTATCGTCCAGCTTAATGAGGTTTCTAGTCCTCACAAATTTGTTTTAAATTAACTCCTCAATAAAAGGTAATTAGACATAAATTATGAAGTCGTGACACCATGACTAGTGACTTTTACAAACAACCACAATTCCTTTATAATCTTATCACCGTAAAACAAAGGCAGTAATTTGTGTACATGTGCAGTGAGAAACCCACATAAATAGGGACAGAAAGTGCAAATCCATGTCAATTGAGTTTACAAGACCATCACATTTGCATAGTAAATGACATTCTTTAGAACAGAAGTTTATAACAGTGATTTGTTAATGATGATGGATTCAAATATTTGAATCAACAATAAAATTTGGTTAAAATGATGATCATTGTTTAATAATAATAAAAAAACAAACTGTGAACATCTATGCGTGTATACATGTAGCTTTTGGTCAACATTATAACGCCAGTCTATATTGTATACATTTAATTATATACTTAATAAATAAGTCACTGATTAATAATTACTAAACTGATAATAACTTTGAATTTCATAATAATTAAATAATAAGTAAGCAACACTTAGTCTCAGTAAATTTAAAGCTGCACCAGTAAAAAAAGTCCAAATTTTGTCACAAGCCATTATTTCTGTTTGTAGATTCTCAGACCCTGGTTGTGGAGTAGGCTAAGTTCTGGTACAGACTACAAGAAGTTCCTTTGGTCAGTGCTTGTGCTATTGCTGCTTTTTGTCTCAATCCCTTCTAGTCAGTTAGAGTAATGGACAATGTGTTAGAGAAGAAGACTGCAATGTGTTCTAAACAATCTCCCTGAATGTGTTAGAGGAGCTCCAGTTAAACACAATCAGTGAAGCCATCTCTCTATCCCAGCTGCCACATATCTTACACCATGTTTACTGTACCAGTTCTAGATGTTAAAACCCCCTTTATACTGAACAGTGTCCTTTCTGTGTCCTTTGTGCCTCCATCAAACTGGCATCGCAGTGGTCGTAGAAAGGAGGTACAAGCATTGCTTTGGTTACAGAATGAATGCTCAATGATCAGCTGGTAGTCAGCACATAAAGTAGTATTATGACTATTATTATTTTTGCTCTAAAGCGGGGGCATACTATAGGGTGCAGAAAAGATGCCATTCAGTGTAAAGAAGGCCTAACTCTGATACTAAAAGACATTTTCTTAACCTAATAAACAAGCATTTGAAAGTGGGAAGAGGTCATTTCAAACACAATTCTATCCTTAAT